AGTGTATGTGGACTCTGCTTCTTGCTTAGGGTTATTCCATGTGACATTGGCAGGTGACCTCTCTTGGCCTCCTCCATGCCAAATCGAGCAAGTACCTTATCAATATAAGTACTCTGGCTCAATCCAATAATCCTTTTCGATCTATCCCTATAGATCTTGATGCCTAGTATGTACTGAGCCTCTCCCAAGTCTTTCATTGAGAAGCACTTTCCAAGCCAGGCCTTTACAGACTCTAACAACGGAATGTTGTTTCCAATGAGCAATATGTCATCGACATATAAGACTAGGAAGGCGATGTCACTCCCACTGACCTTCTTGTAAACACAAGATTCGTTTGGATTCTTGATAAAACCAAACTTACTGATGGCTTCATCGAATCGCAGATTCCAACTTCTGCTTGCTTGCTTTAATCCATAAATGGACTTCTTAAGATTACAAACTTTCCTAGCATTGTTTTTGTTGACAAAACCTTCAGGCTGTGTCATATACACAGTTTCTTCCAAATAACCATTAAGGAAGGCGGTTTTGACGTCCATCTGCCATATTTCATAATTGTAATATGCAGCAATCGCTAGGAGGATCCGAACGGATTTAAGCATTGCGACTGGTGAAAAGGTTTCATCGTAACCAATACCATGAACTTGCCTGTAACCTTTTGCCACCAATCTAGCTTTGTAAATGAATACATTTCCATTTTTGTCGGTTTTAAACTTGAAAATCCACTTACATCTGATAGGTGTATAACCATCGGGTAAGTCAACTAAGTCCCAGACTTGATTTTCAAACATGGAATCAATTTCAGATCTCATGGCCTCTTACCATTTAGCAGAGTCGGTGCTTGCCATCGCTTGCTTGTAGGTTGTCGGTTCATCTCCATCCATAATCAAGATGTCCTGATTCTCGGTTAATACTAAACCAAGATATCTATCAGGTTGAGATCTCGGCCTCTGAGACCTACGTAGGGTAATGGATTGAGCATTTGCATTGTCGATTCGACTTTGCACATTTTGATCATTTTGACTTGCGTCAACAGATGCTGTTTGAGCACTTTGACTGTCATTATGATTTTGTTGCTTATCCTCACGAACTTTGTCGAGTTCGATTTTCCTCCCACTTGTCATTTTGGAAAGGTGCTCCTTCTCCAAAAAAGACATCATCGCGAGCAACAAACACTTTGTTCTCCGATTTGTTGTATAAGTAATACCCTTTGGTTTCTTTTGGGTAGCCCACAAAGTAAACCTTGTCAGATTTGGCATGAAGTTTATCATAAATCAATTTCTTGACATATGCTTCGCATCCCCATATCTTTAGAAAAGATAACCTGGGAGGTTTCTTCGTCCATAATTCATATGGAGTCTTTTCTACAGCTTTTGATGGAGCACGGTTCGGTGTTAGTGTCGCAGTTAGAAGTGCGTGTCCCCAGAAAGAGATAGGAAGATCACTAAGACCCATTGTTGATCGTACCATGTCTAACAAGGTCCGATTTCTCCTTTCGGATACTCCGTTCCATAGAGGAGTTCCTGGAGGTGTCAATTTTGAAAGTATACCCTTTTCTTTCAGATGGTCATCGAATTCTTGGCTCAAGTATTCACCACCTCGATCCGATCGAAGGGCTTTGATTTTCTTGCCAAGCTGATTTTCAACTTCACTCTGAAATTCTTTGAACTTTTCAAATTATTCAGATTTATGCGACATGAGGTAGACATAGCCATATCTACTACAGTCGTCTGTGAAAGTGATGAAATATCGATTTCCATTTCTTGTGGTTGAGCTCATTGGTCCACATACATTGGTATGTATAAGACCCAATAAGTCACTTGCCCTTTCTCCCAACTTGAGAATGGCTGTTTAATCATCTTGCCTAATAGACATCCCTCGCAATTCTCAAACGATTCTAAATCCAACGAGTCAAGAACACCTTCTTGTAGAAGTTTCTTGATGCGTTTGATGTTGATGTGGCCAAGACGATAATGCCACAAGTAAGTCTGATTTGACTCTATGGTCTTAGCTCTTTTGGTATCATTATAAACAATTTGTCCAAAGACACAAATGTGTCATTCCATAAATATAAACAAGATGATATGTCTTGTGATCAAGTTCAAAATGACGTCCAAAGCCACAAGATCAAAATATGGTAGATAAAACTAAACAAGTTTTAAATCTAAACAAAAATATGAGATTACAAGCTTTCTTTGAAAGATTATCTTCTTCTTCCACTTGTGTACTCATATCCACTTGAAAAGCACCGCTCACTTTGTTCCTGAAACAGGAGCATACAGTGAGCCAATTTTCCAGTATCTAATACCTTATAAATGGCTTATGTTCAAGTGTAAATATGATACCTGAGATTGAGGTTACTTTTCTTTTCGCCTCATCTTCTAGATACATGCTACATTATCTTTTGTAGTGTCCGGGTCTACTACAATAGAAGCAGCGCATCTTAGCTTTGTTCTTGAACTCCTTCTTCTTTGGTCTCAGAGCAACCTTAGCCTTCTTGCAAGAATAGGTTTTCTAGAGCTCTTGAACAACTTCCATCAAGGACAGTTTGTTCCGCTTGGCCGTAAGTCGCATCTTTAATGCAACATACCCCGAATGGAGTGAGCTTAGTAGCATGAGAGCCTGATAAGCCTTCTTATCATGGGTTGAGAGAAGCATTTTAGGGTGTGTTTTGATGCTTTATATGTACTTTTGTTAGCTTTTGTGAGTTTTGGGCTGTGATCTCACTTATGTGCAAAAGGCGGGATTTATGAGTACAAGTGAGTGAGTGAGCTCGGGAACCAATGAAGAGTTATGTAAGAAGGATGGACCTTGGCTCGTGATTTGAGAGTTGTGATGGAGCATGGAAGAGCAAGGAAGAAAGCTTGAGGAAAAGGTGAAGCAAAGCAAGAAGAAGAAGCAAGGAAAGAAGGCGAAAACAGCAAGAACCGTTGCCAGGACCGCTGGCAGCTGGCCAGAGCCGCTGGCAGCGGGTATACCAGAGTGAGGGGCTGCCGGAGCAGCTGCCAGCGGGTCCAGAGCAGCTGGCAGCGGCTCTGGCAGAAATTCGGGCTGTTTTGGTTAATTTTCAGCAATTTGGCTTTGTTTTGGCTCGTGTTTTGGATATTATTTTATTATTATTATTGTGTTATGTTATTAAAATATAGAAACATATAAATAGCTTAGTTTTAATTAAGTTTGAAGGGAGAAGAAAAGGAGAATTAAGTTTTGAGAAAAAAAAGCTTTCTAGGGTTTTCTTGGAATTTTCAGAATTCTTTGTTTTGGAATTAGAATCCATGGAAGCTTAATCTTCCGGATTCTTGGTTAAAGATTGAAGCTTTTAGCTACGAATTGTGAGATCTTTCTTCTCTTAATATCTATTGAATATATATTGTTCCTTGAATTAATTTCATGATTTGCTTTAATCAATTGCTAGGTTAGAATTATTGGATTCGCTTGCATCTAATTAATCTTTCCAAAGTAGCAACTTTAGGTTATTGATGCATGCTTTTGGTTTATAACTTGAAGAGGGAATAATATTATTGAAGAAATTAGACCGCTTGTGTTAATTTATTCAATCCTTGTTGATTTCTCCGTTTATTTTCTTCTTGTGGATAATTTAGAGCGCTTGTCTTGAATTGTGCATTGGAAAGGGTTAGAAAGGAGCGCTTTGCTATTTCTAACTATTTATGAGAATTTAGAATCTAGGAATTCTACAACAAGGTGTTCAATAGAGCTTGATTGAGGAGACTTCTATGATCAATTTGTATGTTCATTAGTGGATTTCGCATAACCAAGACCGTTCTTCTCATTGATTACCTATTCATTACGTTCGTTGTTCTTACTTAGTTCATTTATCATCATTGCTCGTGAAAACCCCCCTCGTTACTTAGGTTACTACCGTCCTAGAGTATTTCCACTTAGGTTTCCAGTTATTAGTCCTTTTTTCCCTGTGGATTCGAACTCGACTTCCCTAACTACGTTTATTTGCAGTTAGCTTAGTTGTGATATTTTTGGTTGCATACGACTGAGGCACACCAAATTTTGGCGCCGTTGCCGGGGAATTAAGGCGTTACTTTTTAATTGTTTATCTTAGTAGAATTTATTTTAGGACTGTTCTTAGCTATCTTTCTTTGTTTGTTCGCTAGGGTATGATAAGTACCCATTCTGCTAACAAAGAAGTTTTGCAGTTTGATCCAGAAATTGAAAGGAATATTTCCAGGTTGCGAAAAGAGGCAAAAACAACCCCTAGTGAATCAACGTACTCCTTCAATATTCAAGAAGAAGAGGAGATGGCTGACAATCGAACTCTAAGAGAACTTACAGCCCCTAACTTGAACCAACAACCGTTGTGCATTGCATACCAGCAGTTGGAGGAAGGTACTAATGTTGAGATCAAATCCGGTCTAATTCATCTATTGCCGGCATTCCATGGCATGAAAGGCGAAGATCCGAATAAACATCTGGCAGAATTTCATGTGGTTTGCACTAGCATGAAACCGATTGGGATGACTGATGAACAAATTCAGTTGAGAGCATTTCCTTTTTCTCTCAAAGATGCAGCAAAGGATTGGTTTTACTATCTTCCCCCAGGTAGCATAACAACTTGGGCAGATTTAAAGAAGTGTTTCCTTGATAAGTACTACCCAGCCACTATTTCTGCAAGCCTTAAGAAAGCTATCAGCAATGTGGATCAGAAGGAAGATGAATGCTTGTATGAGTATTGGGAGAGATTTAAGAGATTGTGTGCTAGCTGTCCTTACCATGGGTATTCCGATCAAGACCTCATCCTATACTTCTATGGAGGTCTAACTGATGATGACTTGAGGATGGTGAATGCAGCAAGTGGTGGAGGGCTAGTGAATAAGACTCCAGGAGATGCAACTAGGTTGATTGCAGAGCTAGCAGAAAATTCTAGGCAATTCAGTCAGAGAACTCCCACGCGTCGGGTGAATTTAGCAAATTCGAATACAACTGAGTTAGAGAGTCAAGTAGCTGATTTGACTTCTATGATGCGTTAGTTCATGGTGAACTCAAGGAATCCACAGCAACTGAATGCTTGTGGTTTATGCACCTCCATGGGACATCCCACTGATACATGTCCTCAATTACAAGAGGAGCAGAATGAGCAGGCCAACGCCTTAGGTTTTCAAGGGCAAGGTCCGCAAAGAAGATATGATCCCTTTTCAAATACCTACAACCCAGGATGGAGAGATCATCCAAATTTGAGATATGGGAATTCCCAAGGAAACCAACATCAGCATGCTCAAGGTCAACAACAGTTTCAGCAATATAGGGCACCGTTCCTAACACCTCAAGGCCAAAGCTCTAATTCAGGTAATATGTCAACTGAAGAAATGATTAGATCACTAACTTCTAATGTTTCTACCATGCAGCAGAATATGATGCAGTTTCAACAAGAAACCAGATCAAGTATTCAAAACCTGGAGAATCAAGTCAGTCAAATCTCAAGTGCAGTAAGCCGACTTGAAGCTAAGGACACTGGAAAGCTTCCATCCCAAACGGAGCTGAACCCTAAGCAACAAGTTAATGCAATAACATTGAGAAGTGGCAAAAAGTTGCAAGAAACTGTAGTTGCACCTAAGAAGGCTAAAGACTTGATTGGAGTTGAGGAGGAGGAAGTAGAAAAGAAACTAAGGCGAATCCTCCAACCTTTACCTCTTATGAGCCTGTGCCACCTTTCCCAGAAGCCTTGCAAGATACTCGAAGGTATGAGAAAGACAAGGATATTTATGAGACTTTCAGCAAATGTGAGGTAAATATGCCCCTCTTGAATGTGATTAAAAGTGTTCCTCGTTTTGCTAAGTTTATGAAGGAACTGTGTACGATCAAGAGAAAGCACAGGTTGGGAGGAAAAGAAAAAGTGAAGGTGAGTGCTCATGTTTCTGCAGTTTTCCAAAAGAAACTCCCAGAAAAATGTGGTGATCCTGGTATGTTTACTATTACTGTTACAATAGGAGACACCACATTACACCGAGCCATGTTCGACCTAGGTGCATCAATCAATGTCATTCCCTACTCCCTGTTTAAATCTTTAGAACTTGGGCCTTTGCATGAAACTGGGGTAGTAATTCAGTTAGCTGATAGGTCCAATGTATATCCTAAGGGGGTAGTAGAAGATGTACTTGTTAAGGTTGATGGATTGATCTTTCCTGCTGACTTTTACGTCCTTGACATGGAACATGACAAACAAGCAGCCCCTATCCTGTTAGGAAGACCTTTCTTAAAGACTGCTAAGACAAAAATCGATGTGTCTACCGGTTCTTTGACTATGGAGGTTGATGGGAAAGCAATTGTGTATAACATTTATGATACCATAAAGTATCCTGTTGATACTCATTCTTTATATTCTATAAATGTTGTCGATCCAATATTGCATGATGTTTCTAACATTGATCATGGGGATGAGCTCCTCACACCTATTACTAATGTTGTGTCTGGTGATTGCTTGGATTCTTCTATACCTACTAATGTGCAGGTGAAGGTGGCGGAATTGAATGAACAGTCCAAGCTTCCACCTATACCACTAGGGGCAACACCCACCCCGTCATCATTTCCGGGCAAGAAATTATCCCAGGTATACCACAAAGCAAAGAATAAGGTGTGGCATGACAAGATGAGCTCCCGTTGGAAGGGTCCAATTCAAGTTGACAAGGTCTATCCGCATGGAGCGGTAGAAATTCGGAGTTTAGAGACCAACAACATGTTCAAAGTGAATGGAAAAAGGCTCAAACCATACTACGAAGGGTTCAAGGTCAAGAATTTGGAGAACATCGATCTCTACGAGCCATCAATTGATTAACGAAGTTTCATGAGTTGTGTCGAGCCAACGACGTAAAACAAAGGCGCTAATCGGGAGGCAACCCGAAAACTCTTCCCCGTTTTCATTTATTTTAGTTTTTATTGTTTTTGTTTTGATGTACCAAGTGCTTTTGGTGGATTTATGTAGGAGGATGCTTTGGGAGTACGTATTGTGAGCAAAAATAGAGCAAAACAGGTAAAAACAGGCTTTGGGAGGCAGCCCCTGCAGGAGCCGCTGGTAGCGGGTTGGCAGCTGCTCTGTAGCCGCTACCAGCGGCTCTCCAAGCAGCCAAAAAATCCCAAAGTTCTGCCCCAGCCGCTGGCAGCGGGTCTGGTGCCGCTGCCAGCGGGTGTCCTTCAGGAAAAAAAAAACAAAAAAAAAAAAAAAAAAAAAAAAAAAAAAAAAAAAAAAAAAATATTTTTTTTGCAGCAGCCGCTGCCAGCGGGTCTTCCAGCAACATTCACCCTAAATTCCTTCTTAAGACGCTGGCAGCGGGCCCCAAGCCGCTACTAGCGGCATTCCCTGCATACCTGAATTTTTGCCCTTTTAAACCCCTTTTTCTTCAATCCTACAATCCAATTCATTCTAGTCTTTATCCAAAACCCCAATTAATCACTTCCCTCTATCCCTTAGCAAGTATTCTTTATCCAAAACAACCCATTTGCCCCATTTTCAATCCAAAATTCAGAAATTTAAAAACCCCTCGTCTAACCTCTTTTCCCTCAATTTCAAGTCCAATTAAACCTTAACATTGTTTCAATTTCTAAATTCTAAACTTGAAATTTGAGGAATTGTGTGAACCTTGGTGTTTGGAGGTTTGGTGGGTTGCTCATTGTATTTTGAAAGAGGAGGTGAGATTTGTGCAATTCATTCTTGTGCAATGGGAAGACATAACAAGTGAAGGCAACCTCTTCACCTACGAGGGTTGCAAGGGGGTAGACAACAAGGGGATACTTCAAGGGAGGGTGTATCACCCTCTTTTCCCCAAGCAAATGACTTCATGGGCATTCGTCTAACTACGAAAGAAAAGACTACATGGGTTCAACTTCAACAGCCCAAAAGAATGGTGCAATGCACAAAAGTCGTCGATTTGGAGGCATTGCAAGTGGTTGGTTTGGACGAAGTGATGGAGCACGAGCGCACCTACTTATGTGAGGTATAGATGAATTCCTTTCCACTTTGACTAAGGGATGTCAAGAATTTCTTTCAATTTTAACAATAAGAACTATGTCATGCCTTATGCGGTAATTAGAAATGCATTTGGTTAGAATAATCTTCCCATGGGCAACACTTGGGGTCCCCATAGTTCATTTTTCTTCTCGAGAGTTTTGAAATCCTTGATAATGCCGAATCTTCCAACTTCGGGAATCCTTCCCATTAAGGTGGTACTTATTTCTTCCCTTTCCCTTACTTTTGTTTTTATTGTTGTTGTTCTTGCATTGAGGACAATGTCTCATTCAAGTAGGGGGGGGGAAGCAATTCTTGCATATTTTTGAAATTTGTATAGTTATCCTAATTTAATGGTTTTGTATAGCTATTTCAATTATGTTTCAATGAAAAAAAAGAAAAAAAAAAACAAAGAAGAAAAATTGAAAAAAAAAAGAGAAAAGAAAAAGAAAAAGAAACCCGCTAAGTCGAAAACCTGAAAAGGCGGCTTAGGCAAAAATGGGGGCCCGGTTAGGTTGAAAACCCGAAAGGGCGACCTAAGCAAAAAAGTGGCTAATGAGTGGGTGAGAAAGTGAGATTTGGAAAAAGATGAGAGGCTAGGATGAAAACCCGAAAGGGCTCCTAGGCAAAATGAGAGAAAAAAGAGAGAAATGTTCATGAATTTGATTTTTCAAGGAAATTTCGCATCTATTTGCCGGAGTCGGTGTCATAAGGGGAGGAGATATAAGGAGGTGTCGGGGTAGGTTTCATCTTGGTGATTTTGGGAGATAGTTTAGATTTTGGGGGAATTTGTTGATCATCTTAGGAATTTGAGAGCATGAGTTGTTTGTTTTCACTCTTGAATGTGGAAGTGTTTTTATGAGATTTTTGGTTAAGTTGAGTTTTTGTTTGCCCAATTTTATCAAAAATTTCATTTCTTTAGGCGGTTGAGAATATTCATACTCATGGCTATGCGTTTATCGTTCCAAGTTGATTTTGGGGATGAATTGATAAATAAGAAAAAAGGGAGATTCAAAGTGTGAAGTATGGGGGAGTGTGATTGTGATTGGTTGATAAGTACTAGGATGTTTTGTTGAGTTTGAGTGCATAGAGCTAGTTTGATTCCACCATCTTCTGTTTTGAACCTTAGTGAGGAGGATGTGTTTTATTCTCTAAGTTTACTCGAGGGCGAGTAAAGGTTCAAGCATGGGGGAATTTGATTAGCCTTCTTATCATGGGTTGAGAGAAGCATTTTAGGGTGTGTTTTGATGCTTTATATGTACTTTTGTTAGCTTTTGTGAGTTTTGGGCTGTGATCTCACTTATGTGCAAAAGGCGGGATTTATGAGTATAAGTGAGTGAGTGAGCTCGGGAACCAATGAAGAGTTATGTAAGAAGGATGGACCTTGGCTCGTGATTTGAGAGTTGTGATGGAGCATGGAAGAGCAAGGAAGAAAGCTTGAGGAAAAGGTGAAGCAAAGCAAGAAGAAGAAGCAAGGAAAGAAGGCGAAAACAGCAAGAACCGCTGCCAGGACCGCTGGCAGCTGGCCAGAGCCGCTGGCAGCGGGTATACCAGAGTGAGGGGCTGCCGGAGCAGCTGCCAGCGGGTCCAGAGCAGCTGGCAGCGGCTCTGGCAGAAATTCGGGCTGTTTTGGTTAATTTTCAGCAATTTGGCTTTGTTTTGGCTCGTGTTTTGGATATTATTTTATTATTATTATTGTGTTATGTTATTAAAATATAGAAACATATAAATAGCTTAGTTTTAATTAAGTTTGAAGGGAGAAGAAAAGGAGAATTAAGTTTTGAGAAAAAAAAGCTTTCTAGGGTTTTCTTGGAATTTTCAGAATTCTTTGTTTTTGAATTAGAATCCATGGAAGCTTAATCTTCCGGATTCTTGGTTAAAGATTGAAGCTTTTAGCTACGAATTGTGAGATCTTTCTTCTCTTAATATCTATTGAATATATATTGTTCCTTGAATTAATTTCATGATTTGCTTTAATCAATTGCTAGGTTAGAATTATTGGATTCGCTTGCATCTAATTAATCTTTCCAAAGTAGCAACTTTAGGTTATTGATGCATGCTTTTGGTTGATAACTTGAAGAGGGAATAATATTATTGAAGAAATTAGACCGCTTGTGTTAATTTATTCAATCCTTGTTGATTTCTCCGTTTATTTTCTTCTTGTGGATAATTTAGAGCGCTTGTCTTGAATTGTGCATTGGAAAGGGTTAGAAAGGAGCGCTTTGCTATTTCTAACTATTTATGAGAATTTAGAATCTAGGAATTCTACAACAAGGTGTTCAATAGAGCTTGATTAAGGAGACTTCTATGATCAATTTGTATGTTCATTAGTGGATTTCGCATAACCAAGACCGTTCTTCTCATTGATTACCTATTCATTACGTTCGTTGTTCTTACTTAGTTCATTTATCATCATTGCTCGTGAAAACCCCCCTCGTTACTTAGGTTACTACCGTCCTAGAGTATTTCCACTTAGGTTTCCAGTTATTAGTCCCTTTTTCCCTGTGGATTCGAACTCGACTTCCCTAACTACGTTTATTTGCAGTTAGCTTAGTTGTGATATTTTTGGTTGCATACGACTGAGGCACACCAGAGCCGCTTGCTCATCGTCCACTGGTTTGCCAATTAGCTCCAGATGGGTGAATAGCCTTGTCATGTTGAGCACATGAGCTTGAAGTGGCATCCCGGGTCTATGTCTTGGATTATAGACCTAAGCCCATACTTCTTGTCTCTCTTTCATGAGACACCCATCTTGCGGTGGCTTGATCCTCATGTTCGAGAGTAACCTAGTCACATCTTCCACAAGTCCATCATAGTTGCCTCTGGTACTTTTGGTGACTCTCAAATTGACTACATCTTCTAGAGCTTTGAGCATCATGTCCGGAAAATAGTTGGAGAACTTCCCCTTCCATTGTACCGGGATGGAGTTTGCCATGAGTCTGGAAACTCTTTTACAATCCACACTCCATACCTCATGTGCCTCATCACTCATAATCCCCTTTGAGTAGAAACTCGGGATTTGAGTGACCAGAATGTTCTCTAGGTAGAAATTTCGGAGGGTCTTTCGGAGTTCCTCTTCCCATTCCTTAAAGTTTACCAAGTTAAGAGAAATTGGCAACTTTTCGGGTAATTCCGGGAGCATAAGGTCGTTGACATTAGTTGAAGACATGATTCTACAATTGAAAGAATTTGAAATAAAAAACCATTCATTATACTTAAATAAGATTGAATTCATGCATTTTAATCAAAATTATTTAAAACGTCTTATTCACACATTAAAGATTGTCCCCATTTTAGGTGAGAATAAGTCGATTCCAAGATCCAAAAAAACAAAGAGTGGTTAAGCATGCTTTGGCTTGTCTTAACACTCAATCTCCTAAGGTAAGCAACGCTTTGCTAATGGCTCCAAGCCACTCTTGGTTGAATAAATCGTCGCATCCAATGCTCTCTAAACAATTTATTCACTTTGCCACGACATGTTAGGACTCCATCACTCATATCGTTGAGTATAACCAAAACCACCTTGCATACCCGGTATGCCTTACGTTCCTTGGAGAAGTAGTGATGCCTCGCTTTGGCGTAGCCCACTACTACCCTCGTTTGGTTGGTAAGTGTGTTTTGTTATGGCAATATTTACTCAATATTATAGGGACCTAGGGTTTCTATGTTGGTTGATTTAAGTGAACTTAATTAATCATCTCAACATTCAAAATCCTAAACATGCATCTAACATATAATTCATATATATATAAAAATAAATATATATAGAAAACATAAATAGAGATGCATTTGGCAACTAGCATGACCCCTTGAGATCTTCAAGTCTTCAAAAG